CGCGAAGCTCGCGATGAACCACGTCGTCTTCTACGGCGACGTGCAGCGCAAATTCATGGAGTGCTGGGCGCACGCCCTCACGACGGGGGCGCCGACGGCCGAGGCGGCGCGGTCGCGCTTCGGCCTCGCCGCGGGCGCGCTCGCGGGCTGGCTCCTCGACGCGCCCGCGGAGGTAGTCCCCCCCCGAAAGGCCGCGCGGCGGCCGCGCGCGCTCGCGGGCCACGTCTGCTTCTCGTGCCTCGCGGCGGCGCCGCCGAAACCGGCGCTCGACGGGAAGCAGGCCGGCGTCGCGCGGGCCCTCGAGTGGCTCGAGGCGTCGCTCCCGGCGGCGTACCGCGACGTCCACGTCTGGTGCTTCCCCCCGACGCAGCTCCACGCGACGCTCGGGCGGGACCCGGACCAGGCCATGATGATGTGGTGGATCCCGCGGCCCTACCACGTCGTCGTGGGCGCCCGGCCCGTGGAGGCGACGGTCTTGGGGCTCTGGGGCCACGCCGAGCGCGCGATGGCCGCGCTCGTCGACGGCGACGAGGACGGGGCCATCCGGCGCGAGTGGCTCTGGCTCATGGACCAGTTCCGCCACGGGTCCCTGCCGCGCTACGCGGCCTGCGCGGGGCACCACCCGGACTGGGTCGCCTACCGCTTCGACCTCGTCGAGGCGCGCCACGGCCCGCTGCCGCGCTCCGGCGGCGCCGCGGTGCTCCTGAGCCTGAACCTCCGCGACTGGCGCCTGCCCGCGGCCTTCGCGCCGGTCTACCCGCTCACGGCGCCCGACGACGCGGCGAACGCGCGGGCCTGGGACGACGCGCGGCCGGCGCTCGCGCCGCTCGCGGGCGACGTCTACGCGTACCTCGAGGTCAAGCTGCCCGACGACGCGACGGCCATGTTCAGCTACCACCTCTTCGGCCTCGCGTGACCGCCGCGCACAGGGGGTCGCGTTAGATGGCCTGGGGCGGCTCGCAGAGGTGGGTCTGGGACGGGTCCTTGTGGTGGTGGCCGAGGATGGACATGCGGGCGATGGTCGCGGTGATGCTCCGGTTGCGGCGCGCGGCGATGGCCGCGTCGTCGTCGCCGCGGTCCCAGGTGTCCCGAAGCGCGGTGAAGAAGCGGTCCCGGTAGAAGGGGCCGCGGGAAACGCCGCGCCCGCGGCGTCGCCCGCGGTCTTCGTCGACGACCGGTGGAGCTCGAAGCAGTCGCCGAAGGAGTTCTCGCCGTCGTTGACGCGCATCTGGAAGTAGGGGTCCGGCGACCGGTCGTTGCTCTGCTGGCGGTGGATCGCGCTGAGGTCGTAGAGCAGCGGCCGCTGCGAGAGCGTCGCGACGAGTTTCACGTCGTCCTCGCTGTCGCCCTCGACGAGCTTGTGGAGCGCCAGCGTCAGCTTCACGGGCACGACGACGGCCGTCTGCTTCGCCTCCTCCGCGCCGTCGCCGAAGAAGCCCGCGGTGAGGTGGGAAGGGAGCAGCGACGACACGCGGCGGTCGCCGCCGCAGATCCGCGTGAGGATGTTCGCCGACACGGCCGTGATCGTCCGCCGCCGCGCGTGGAGGTGGTGGTGCAGGTGCTCCAGGGGCTCGACGCTCTCGACGGCGCAGGCCCAGGGCGCCCCGCCGTGCGCCGCTAAGAACGCCTCGAGCCGCTTCCTCAGCCGGAGCCTCAGCCCCAGACGCCCGAGCCGCGCGTCGCTCCGGTAGATCTCGAGCAACAGCGCCGGCGTCAGGCCCGCGAGGCAGGCGCCGTCGATCTGGTGCTGCCGCCAGGCCACGGCCGCGTCGCGCGCCAGGTCCTCGTCGCCCTCGAGCTCGAGCACCAAATGGTGTACGAGGAGGCAGCAGTCGGCGCTCGTCCACTCGGTCGCGCCCGTCGCCGGGAGCGCCGCCAGCCACGCGTCGCCGAGCAGGCGGCTGCCGCGCCGTATGCTCCCGCGCGAGCTTTCGCGCCGCTCGCGGGCCGGCGGGACGACGAGGGCCATCGTGTTTTTTCCACGGGGCAGCGTCGCGATTTGCGAGCTTCATGTTGAAGTTCAACTTGTCGTCGCGAGGATTGTAATTGCGCCTGACGACGCCTGTTACCCAGTGTGTGTATCGTGGCTTCATGTCTTACAAAAAGGTGGTGGTGGGTGGCGACGAGGTGTCGCGCGTGCTTCGGGGGTGTGGGTGGCGACGCGTGTCGCGTGTGCGCTTGGTGGGCGCCGCGCTTAGAGCGCGGCGGCGTAGTTGGCGAGCTTGATGGAGTTCTCGCCGACGGTCTTGCCGTTCGACGCGACCTTGGGGTCGTTCACGGCCCAGAACATGACGCCGCCGATCGCCGCGTCCTTCATCGACGCGATCGTGGCCTCGTCGTGCTCGAGGCCGCCCCAGACGCCCGTGTAGGCCTGCGGGCCGGGCTCGAAGCCCATGACGACCTTCTCCAGCGGGATGCCGTAGTCGACGTGGGACTGGACGACGGCGTCGTAGTGCTCCTGCACGAAGTACTGCTCCGGCGCGCCGACGAAGGCCGTCTGCGCGTCGAGGTCGTACATCATGAGGTGGACGAAGTCGACGGCGTCGACGCCGAACTCGGAGTGGGCCTTGAGGTAGTCGAAGATGTCCGCGCCCTCGCCGTCGGTCGCGAAGTTGTTCTGGCCGTACTTGGAGCCCGTCGTCGGGAAGAACGCGTTGTAGCGCGGCGTGTAGGAGATGATCTTGTCGCCCATGCCCGCGGCGACGAGCGCGGTCTTGAGGCTCGCGATGACCTTGCCGACGACGCTGCGCTGCTGCGCGTGGAGCGCCGGGTCCGAGTCGCGGTACTGGCTCAGGTGCTCCCAGTCGAAGTCCAGGCCGTCGGCGCCGAGCGCGAGGAGCTGCACGAGCTGGTCGACGAGGTCCTCGACCTGGTCGTCGTCGACCGTCTTCGTGAGGTCCGACCAGCCGCCAAAGGCCCAGAGGAACTTCTTGCCGGTGTCGCGGCAGTAGTCGATGAGCGCGTCGATCTTCTGCTTCTGCCAGTTGTAAGGGTTCTTCCACGCCGGGTCCGTGTCCTCCATGACCGCGAGGACGTCGGCCAGCGTCATCGTGTCGTAGACGACCTCGCCGCCCCAGCGGACCTCGCGGGGGTGGTCGACGTTCGGCGTCGCATCGAGCGTGAGGAACGAGTAGAGCAGGGTCGTGAAGCCGTCGAGCTCCGACGTGTCCAGGGGCTTCCAGTTCTCGACGTAGCCGACGCGCTCGAACGCGCCGGGCGCGGGCGGCGTCGGCGGCGAGGGCGCGGGCTTCGTCGTCGGCGCGGGCGTCGCGGGCTTGGCCGTCGGCGCGGGCGTCGCGGGCTTGGCCGTCGGCTTCACCGTCGGGGCGGGCGTCACGGGCGACTCGTCGTCGGGGCACTTGTCGCAGGCTTCGAGGCAGGCCTTCTTGGCCTTGGTCTTTTTGCCGTCGAGGACGCCCTTCTTGCGGCAGCGCTTCTCGGGCTTCTTGGACACCCAGGCGCAATCCTTCCGCTCCTTCTTGTAGAACCAGGCCTCGCTGTCCTCGCACGTGGCCTTGGGCGGCGTCGGGCGCGGCGTCGGGCGCGGCGTGGGCTTCGGCGTCGGGCGCGGCGTGGGGTTCCGCGTGGGCGCGGGCGTCGTCGCCGGCTCGTCGCCGTCGTCGCACGCGGACGAGCAGAAGGCGGCGTAGGCCGGGTCGCAGTCGACGGCGACGCACCAGGCGTCGGTGACGTGCGAGATCGAGCGGCAGGCGCAGCCCTCGCCGCCGTCGCCGGCGTCGTCGTCGGGCGCCGCCGTCGTCGTCGTCGTCGGCGCGGGCGCCGGCGGCGCGTCGACGTCGTCGCCGTCGTCGGCGCGCTCGCCGATGGCGATGTCGGCGCAGTTGAAGAAGGCCTCGGGGTAGGCGCCGCGCGAGTTCGCGGTCACGTACATGAACTGGAGCACCGCGTGGTCCGAGGCCACGCCCGCGGGGAGGTCGTACTTGAGCTTGTAGGTCGTCTTCGCGCGCTTGTCGGGGACCATCCAGCGGTCCGCGTTGGCGGCCTCCGGCGAGCAGGCGCCGCCGCCGCGGCAGCACGAGCCCTCGACGGGCGCGAGGCCGTCGGACTCGTTTTCGATCTGGAACGCGCACTGCGTCTCGACCTGGGCCGCGCCGCCGTTGCCGAGGTAGTCCGTCGGGTTCTCGATGCCGCGGTAGTCGGCCGGGTCCTGGATGATGCCGCCGTAGTAGTCCGACGCCGAGTACTGCGCGGCGGTGTAGTCCGCGTCGAACTGGAGGACGTGCTCGTTGAGGCACTCCTGCGAGAGGCGGCTCGCGTCGTCGCAGAGGCGGAACTCGAACCAGCCGAGGTGGTGCGCCGTGACCGTGACGTCGATGTCGATCGTCGACCCGACGGCGTAGGTGACTTGGGGGGCCGTGTCGAAGGCGCCGCCCTCGAAGCCGGCGCCGGTGGCGAAGAGGCCGCGCGGGCCGTCGTCGCCGCAGAGGCCGTGGCCCTGGGCCTTGGCTTTAGCAGCGTCGCCGCCGCCGAGCTGCGCGTTGAGCGACGCGAGGTCCTCGTCGGCGAGGCGCCAGGCGTAGCCGTCGCGCTTGCCCCCGTAGAGGACGGTCGAGTAGCCGTCGGGGCCGGAGGTCTTGGGGTCGATGGCGACGTCGTTCACGAGCTGGCGCGACGGCGGGCTCGTCATGAAGGCGTGGCCGTCGGTGTAGCCGATGGAGAGGGCGAGGGCCACGAGGGTCTGCTTGATGGAGGTTTTCATGATGTTCTTGGGGTGCGTGGTGTGCGTGGTGTGCGTGTGCGAGTTGTGCGATGCGGTGCGCGCGGTGCGTGCGGTGTGTGTTGCGGGGGTGTCGCGGACGACTTGCTGGGTGCTCGGAAAGTTCCGGCTTGTGGATCTCGACTTCGTCGAGGAAGCTTGTGCTTTGCTTTTGAGAGAGCTCCATCACTCTGCGGCAGGAAATCAGGAGGTTGCCGGGAGAATGAGTGGCGATTGACGGTCAAAGACCGGCCTAACGGACCCCCGCTTTGTTCTTCTCAGCATGGTCTTCCTGCAAGTGGGCAGCCTCTTCGCCCTCGCCGGCGTCGTCCGCGCCGCGAACGAGGGCCCCTGCGACATCTTCGAGGCCGCCGCCACCCCCTGCGTGGCGGCCCACTCGACGGTGCGCGCCCTCTACGCGGCCTACGCCGGGCCGCTCTACGAAGTCCGGCGCGCCGACGACAATGCCACGTTCGACGTGATGGCGCGCGCCGGCGTCGCCGACGCGGAGGCCCAGGACGACTTCTGCGGCGCGTCGGACTGCGTCGTGTCCAAGATCTTCGACCAGTCGCCGCGGGGCAACGACCTCGCGCCGGCGCCCGGCGGCGGCTGCGTCCATACCCCCGACGCGCCGGTCAACGCGACGCGCGAGAAGCTCACGCTCGGCGGCCGCAGCGTCTACTCGCTCTACTTCGAGGGCGGCATGGGCTACCGCAACGACAACACGTCCGGCGTCGCCGTCGGCGACGAGCCCGAGACCATCTACATGGTCGCGAGCGGGCGCCGCGCCGCGTCCGACGAGAGGCGCGTCTGTGTGGGCGAGAGTCGCCCCTGGAGGAAATCTTGAGAGTCGCTGCCGGAAGACATCTCGCGATCCACGCTCGCCAGGCGCCACTACAACGACAAGTGCTGCTTCGACTACGGCAACGCCGAGACGGACGACAACGACGAGGGCGCGGGCACGATGGAGGCCGTCTACTTCGGGAACGCGAACGGGGGCCTGAACCACGGCGGCGCGGGCGACGGGCGGCGTCCCGAGTTTCGAGAGATTTCGGCCGGGAGGGCGCCGTTCGGCGACGCGACCCTCGGGAGATCGGACGGTAGGCGACGGCCCGTGGATCATGGCGGACATGGAGAACGCGCTCTGGGGCGCGGACCGCGTCAGGTCCAACGAGTCCACCATCGACCACGACGTCGTCACGGCCGTGGTCAAGGGCGACTCCGGCGCCGCGCCGGGCCACTGGGCCATCAAGGGCGGCGACGCGACCTCCGGCGGCCTCGCCACGTTCTGGGACGGCGCGCGCGCGCCGGGCTACGCGCCCATGAAGAAGCAGGGCGCGCTCCTCCTCGGCGTCGGCGGCGACAACTCGAACCGGGCCGTGGGGACCTTCTACGAGGGCGCCGTCGTCTCGCACTACACGACGGACGCGACGGACGCCGCGGTCCAGGCGAACATCGTCGCCGCGGGCTACGGCAAGTAAAAGAGGGTTCCAAGGGCTGGCTGCGACCGCGCGTGCGTGACGTCGTGCGTGCGGCAAGAGGGCAAATTGCAGTGCTCCATCTGGTGCATCATGCCAGTGAAGATGCCACGGCACCAATCGGCACCGTGCATCCCGAAGCCGCCGAGCTTGGGCGATTCGCCAGGCTCCTCGTCCCATGGCGTCGCAGGTCGACGCCGTCGAGCGGGAGTTCCTGCTCTGCGCGCGCTACGGCGAGCTCGAGGAGATGCTCGAGGAGCTGGCCAAGGGCGCCGACGTCATGGCGCGCGGCGACGGCGGCAACACGGCGCTGCACATGGCCTGCGCCAACGGCCACGAGGCGATCGTCGCGGCGCTGCTCGACCGAGGCGCGGAGCCCTCGGCGACGAACGACTGCGGCAACACGCCGGCGCACTACGCGGCCCAACAGCGCCACGCGCCGTGCCTCAGGCTCATCGTCGCGCGCGAGGGCGCGGACGTTTTACGACAAAACGAGTTCGGGCGGTCGGCGCTCACGGACGCCATCGCGTCGGGCGACGGCGCCGTGGCGACCATCGCGCTGGAGCACGACTCGGCGACGGAGGAGAAGATCATCGCGGGCCTGGCGGCGACGGGTTTGGACCACGTGACGCACTCTCTAAACTTCGCGGCGCCGCCGGTGCGCGTCCGCGAGCTCCAGATCTCCAAGGCCGTCGACGAGACCCTGGGCGACGGCGGCGGCGCCAGCGACCGCACGGGCCTGGGCATCTGGGCCGCGTCGCTCGCGCTGGGCCGCTGGCTCGCGGAGAAGCGCGACGCGTTCGACCGCGCTCGCGTCGTCGAGCTCGGCGGTGGCTGCGGCGTCGGCGGCCTCGCGCTCGCCGCGGCCTGCCCGACCGCGCGCGTCGTCGTGACGGACTGCTTTGCGGAGACGCTCGAGAACGCGGCGCACAACGTCGCGCTCTTCCGCGAGGACCGGCCCGACGAACAAACGCTCGAGCCCTGGTTCGGGTCCACGGCGCGCGTCGCCTCCGCGAAGCTCGACTGGGACGCCGAGCCCGGTGAGACCTGTGACTTCGTCGTCGGCGCGGATTTGGTGTACCACGAGGCCGTCGTCGACAAGCTGGTCAGGACCGTCGTCCGGCTTCAAGCGAAGGAGTTCTGGTACGCGGCGCCGACGAGCGGCCGCGCGGGCGGCGACGCCTTCCTCGCCCGGCTCGAGACCCTGGGCTTCGAGCACGTCGCGCGGGACGCGCCGCCGGCCTACGGCGCGAACGCGCTCGCGGACGGCGACGACGACAAGTTCCTCCTCTACTTCCCCGACGTCGCGACGGCGACCTTCGCGCTCCACCGCTTCGTGCGGCCCTTTAAGTAGTGTCTTCCAAAGAAGAGGCGACGCGCGGGTTGAGCACCGTCGCGTCGACGGCGCTGCCGAGGAGGCACGCGGCCCGCCAGTCGTCGCCGCAGCACGCGAGCGACAGCTTCGCGTGCGCGTGCTCGAAGGCGCGCTTGACGCGCGTCATGGCGAAGGAGTTCTTGCCCACGTCGAGCGACGCGTCGTCCGGGTTCTCCAGCGCCAGCAGCTGGGGCCGCTGCGGGTAGTCCCAGCCCCGCGACCGCTTCGGGAAGTAGGATCCGTGGTGCCGCACGGAGATGCCCGTCGCGCCGTAGTTGAAGTCCCTCCCGTAGAGCTCGAAGAACTCGAGGAGCAGGGCGCCGAGGTTCGGCGCGGACGCCAAATTCGTCGCGCAGTCCGTGCGGTGCCGCATCTGGAGGAACGACACGACCATCATCTGCATCATGAACGAGCCCACGCCGCCCGTGAACGTCTCGTTGAGGCCCCGCTGGGCGAGGAAGAACTTGAGCACGATGACTAAGGGCCGCAGGGGCGGCATGCGGTCCATGAGGCCCCGGACGAGCCGGCCCGTGCGCAGGCCCGACTCGACGTCGAAACTAACGTCGACGGGGATGCCCGTGGCCCGGTCCGCGTACTTGACGATGGGGATGCGCGCCGACTCGACGACCTCCATGTTCGTCGCCGCGTCGCGCTTCGTCAGCTCCGCCGCCAGCGCCCGGAGCCGCCGGGGCCCGGACGCGCCGAAGACGACGACGTCGACGTCGGAAGAGGGTAGACTCAGGCCCGTCAGCGAGCTCCCGAAGACGTGCACCGTCGCCTTGGGCCAGACGCCGGCGACGGCGGCCTCGATGTTCGCGACGGCGGCGTCGCGCCGCCGCGTCTCGCCCGCCGACGGCGCCACGAGCGCGCAAAAGGCCAAGATCTCGTCGTGGAGCTTCGTCAGCGGACTTGTAGCGTCGGCGACGGGGTTGAACAGCGCCGCCTCCCTGTCCGACTTCTCGAGCCAGAGCGTGTCGTCCTTCGCCTCGTCGTCCTCGTATTCGAAGCGCCGGCGCTTGCCCATCGTCCTGTTTCGGCGTCACGCGGCCATCGCCTGGCGGCACTTGTCAATGTCGACCTCAACGTGCAGCGGTCGAAGCACCAGGAGCTCCGCGCGTCGCTGTTTCCACTCGGCACATCCACGTGCAGCGCGCGTCGTCTCGAGAATAACGGTCATGTACAGTGTTACGCGGTCAGCGCGCGCTCAGAGGGGCGAGGCGGAGCACGTCGCGATGGGCGGCGCCTCGAGGTCGCACTCCTTCTCCTTGCAGGCCGCCGGGTAGACGCGGCCGCCGTCGGCGAGCTTCTCCTTGCAGTCCGGCGAGATGCGCTGCGCCTGGACGACGTTGATGAGCGTCGGCTTCGCCCGCGGCGTCGCGTCCGAGTCCCGCGGCGCGGCGCCGCGGCGGCGGCGGCAGCAGAGCCGGCGAAACAGCGCCGCGGCGGCGAGGACGCCCAAAGCCGCGGCGGCGAGGACCGAGGCCTTCGCGGACGACACCTTGGCGGCGTGCGCGTGCGCCTTCTTGACGATCGCCGGGTCCTGTTCCTCGTCGTCGTCGTCCGCGGACGCCGCCGCGGCTTCCTCCGGCTCGTCGGACGCGTCCTCGCGCGGCTCGAAGAGCTCGTCCGCCGGCGGCGCGCGGTCCGGCCGGCCGGCCGAGGGGGCCTCCTCGCGGGGCTCGAAGCGCTCGTCCGCCGGCGGCGCGCGGTCCGGCCGGCCGCGCTCCTCGGCGTCGTCGAAGAGTTCGAAGCACGACGCGAGGTCGGGGTCTTCGCCGTCCGCCTCGGCGCCGTCCTTGAGCTCGGCGAAGTAGGCGAGGCACGCGTCGCCGTCGACGCCGTAGAGCTCGTACTCGAGGGCCTTCTCCTCGCCGAGGACCTTGGCCTCCTTCTCGCGCTTCTTTTCGCCGAACTCCGCGAAGCACCGCTCGACGTCGTCCTTCGGGAATGTGCCGTTCGTCGCCGGGAAGGCGGCCTCGAAGGTCGGGGCGTCCGGCGCGTCCCGCTCCGCGGGCTTGCCCTTGCCCTTGCCGCCGCCCTCGGGCTTCTCGGGCTTGTCGCCGCGCGCGGGCTTGCCGTCGGCCTTGCCGTCGGGCTTGCCGTCGGGCTTGCCCTTCGGGCCGCCGGGCGCGGGGCGGCGTTCCTTGAGCTCCTCGAAGATGGAGAAGCAGGACGCGTTGACCGTGCCGTTCCAGTCCTTGCGCGGCCAGGTGCCGTTCAGGTCCTTGCGAGGCCAGGTGCCGTTCAGGTCCTTGCGCGGCCCGCGCGCGCTGCCCGAGGGCTGCGCGGCGGCGGCGGCGAGGAGGAGAGACGCGACGAGCTTCATGGCGGATGCGGTGGTGGCTGTGGTGGCGGTGGCTGTGGTGGGTGTGGTTCGATTCGGAGGCTGCCCATCTGAGGTCGTCTCGGAGCTGGGGATGGCTGCAAGAAGAGCAGAGCAATTGGGAACTCTCCGGGATCGAGATCTGGAATAGGGGGGGTAAAAAACATCGGCCGAAGCACCGCGCCAAGGACAAGCTCACGCTCGAGTTGGACGAGCTCTGGTCCGCGGTGGAGAAGGGCCTGCGCTCGGTCGAGCAGTGCGACTTCGACGACGTGCGCGCGGCCGGTGTCTGGCCGGAGATAGACCTCAGCCTAGGTCGGGACGCGCGCGCGTTCCCGACCGGCCCGGGGCTCGGGGGCACCGGGCACGGCCATCGAAGGTGCTGAGACGCTCGTTAGCTCGCCGTACGTGTACAGGGACCTCCTCAGGTTCGGCAGCATGCCTTCGCGCAGGTCGAAGAGCTGCGGGCCGCCGCTCCGCGCAGCCACGGCATGGTGCGGCGCCGGGCGAGGTAGCCGCCGGCGATCTCGCCGAGTGCGCCGGCGAAAATCGATGGTAGATGGCGGCAAGCGCGGTGCAACGAGCCCGAGGTGCAGCCTGCGGCAGCCCGACGCGACAGTCTGGACGTCCACTTCTCGCATTTAGCAGATCAGAGTGTGACTGGAGCTGATGAGTGAAGTACGATACCTCAGGCTGACCGTCGCGACACGGCCGCTCTCAAAGCGCCCATCGACCGAGCCATACAGACGGCCTACGGGCGGGCGGACTGGCAACACAGCCTTATCCCGCTACTACTCCCCCCGCGCGCGCTTCTTCGCCTTGCCCCGCGGCGGCGGCGCCTTCTCGGCCGGCTCCTTGGGCGCGTCCGCGGGCGCGACGTCGCCGTCGCCGCCCTCGCCGTGGAGCGTCGTGACGCCGCGGCGCTGGAGCGCGAGCATGACGTCCTTGGTCCGCAGGCACCTCGCCGGCGGCGGCGGCGCGTCGTCGCCCGGCGGCGGCGCCGGCGCCGGCGGGCCCGCGCCGCCGGTCCGCAGCTCCTGCATCTTGGCCGCGTCCGCGACGACGTTCGCGAGGAAGTGGTCCGCGGCCAGCGCGACGACCTTGACCAACGTCGCGTCGCCGGCGCCGCCGCCCTCGCGCAGGTAGTACGCCGCGACGTCCTCCGGGAGCGTCGACTCGTACTCGGCCGCGCGGCCGACGAACGCGGCGAGCTCGCCGAGCGAGCTCGCGGTGAGCGCCTCGTCCTCGGAGCTCGTGGCCGGCGCCGCCTCGATGGGCGCCGCGGTGCGCGCCGTCGCCGGCGCCGGCGCGTCGGGCTTTGGGCGCTCGGCGACGCGAAAATTGACGCTGCGCGCCGCGGCGTCGCGCTCCGTCGCCGACGGCGCCGCGGTCATCACGGTTTTTTCGCGTTCGGCTTCCGCCGCGAAGGCGCTTGTGGACATGGTTGCTAACGTGTGTGTCGCTAGGCGCTCGACAGAGTTTCAGCTGTGTCGCTAGGCGCTCGATGGCATTTCAGCGGCGACCATTGCGCGGCCTGCAGAGCCTCGTCTGTGGCCGGGGGTAAATGGCCAATGGACCAACACGCTCCTCGAGTACGGACGGATCGATCCGCAACAAACGCAGCCGCGGCGACCCGTCCAGGAAGAGCATTAGGCGTGTCAAGCGGCTCGGCGATACCAGGGCTAGTGGTAGGACGCTCCAGGGGCCTCCGACCCCCGGCGAAACAGGGAGAGCTTGGCCGGGGTCTTTTCGAGAGCCGCGCTCGCCATTGCGGCATGTTGGCCGCGGGCGCCACCTAACCGGGCCCCCAAGGTCCAAATACCTCGCGCCCCACCCCACAAGTCGAGCTTCCGGGTGCTGATCCCTTGTACTTTATACCGGGGCATTTTCAGCCGGTGGTATGGCCTCAAAGGAGCGCGCGCCCAGCGGCCCAGTCGTGCCCGTCGAGCACGGCTCTCGCCCCCAGCTGCCGAAGAAAAAGGCCTCAATAGACTTCTACCGCCAGCTTCCGTTCACGCGGCTCAAGGAGAAGACGACTGACCAGTGGCAGTACGCCATCGCCAGCGCTTCGGGCCGATCCGCGCGTTTTTCAGCGTCCGGAATCAAACGAAATTGCAGCGGCCGCGCCACTGCACACGCCAATTTAATTGCAACAAATTACTCACCACCACCTCGTGCAATTGCAACAAGTCACTCCAAAATTCATAGGTCACGACCTTGACGACGGCGCAGCTCGAGGCCGGCAAGTTCGAGGGCGTGACGACGCACGACAAGACGAAGCGCCTCAACGTGCCGACGCCGCAGTTCAAGAGCGTCGAGGACTACGGGTCCTTCGCGGCCAAGGTCGGCGCGCAGCCGCGGGCCTTCCACCGCGCGCGCGTGAACAAGCGGACGACGCTCCTCGCCGGCCGGAGCCTCGGCGGCGACGACGCGGCGGCCGCGGCGCTCGGCACCGCGACGTCGTCGTCCGCGGACAAGGCCGCGGACGAGGACGAGGGCCTCGAGTACGTGCTCGGCGTCGACGACGAGCGCTGGCTCCTCAACGAGCTGCCGACGCTCGTGCGCAAGCGGCTCAGCGGCCAGACGTCCGCGGGCGGCCAGGTCAAGGGCCGGAGCCACAAGAAGGGCGCGGGCCGCGGCACGGGCACGGGCCAGCGGAAGCGGTCCAAGGCGGAGATGGACGCCATCGCCGCCGCGGAGAAGCTCAAGGAGGCCGAGGAGGCGAAGAAGCTCGCCGAGGAGGCGAAGAAGCTCGAGAAGGAGCGCGAGGCGAACGGCGGCGGCACGCGCGCGGCGACGCGCGGCCGGTCCGCGGCCGCGGGCGCCGCGGCGCCGTCGCCGACGCCCATGGACACGTCGCCCGACGGCGCCCCGGCGCCGGCGCCCGCGCCCGCCGTGGAGGCCACCGACGAGAACGTCGAGAAGCACGTGTCGCAGCTCACGGGCGACGTCCTCGAGGCGCTCATCGACTGCCTCGAGATGATCTCGGGCGGCTTCCCGAACCCGACGGCGCGCGCGCAGCAGGCGTCGGACGCGCTCATGTCCAAGAGCCTCACGTG